GCCCGGCTCCCTCCCCCTGGCCCGCGGGGTGGCTGGGCTCGAAGATGCTCGCAAGACGCGCTCCATCCCTCGCCGCTCGGGCGGGGAGCTCCTCCCGCCCCCGCGCCCTGGGTCCAGCTCCCACCCGCTCCCTCTGCCCGCAGCGCTCTCCCGGGTGCGGGGTTCCTGAGGACACGGCTCCTCATTCCGGGGCTCTTAATCTCCACTCCCAAACTGGACGCCGGGGAAAAGGGCGGCGGGGATGCTCCCAAGGAAAAAGGCAAACGGGAGCGAGACGATTGTTTATTTCAATGGCCGTGTTTACAGTGCATTTTTATTCCTAAGCACACGCTCGCGTTCCAGGTCTTTGCCCCGTTAGGAAGTGTAAATCGACGCCAAGCCCTTCCTGGTGCACACAAAGAGACCAATCGTGCGCATGTGTCTAATCCCTCTGCTGCTGAGGAGACTGGAGCAATCAGGCGAGGCAGCCCGTCGCCGACGTCCTCTCCCGTAGCAGCAGCGAGGATCAGAGTGGATTGATTTATGCGCGCGTTTTAGTTAACTATGACCAGAAGTGGCGAGTGGCTTTTAATCTTCTAGGGGAAATGGAGACCATAGCTATTACCGGTGGATGCAAATGATTTATTGAAATGTTCAACTTGTGAAACAGAACAATGAAGAACTTTGTCCCCTAAAATGTAGGAACGCATGACATTTAAAAGTAGGCTATTCTCTATTGTAAAAAAAATTTTAATTTAACAATTATTTTATAAGATTTAAGGAAAAATAGGGAGTTTTAAATTTTGGCTAGAGGCAACATATAGATTTTTGCTATAGGCAAGAATATTTAGTACCTAGTAACTAAGGATGTTTCTAACTAAAAAAAAAAAAATGTACAAACATTGAAAATTTTCTAAGTCCCTTAGTTATAAAGAGTCTATACTTAATAAAAATTAAAAAGATCGTGTTTATTTCTGCTTATTTTAGTGAGCAGTCTTTTTCCATATTCTCAGTTAAACTTTCTTAGTCCTATTGGGAACATAATAATATTAAGAGAGAAAGGAAACTACTTGACTGAGGGGAGAAAAAAATATAAAACCTTGAAGGATAAAGTAGCATGCCCTTCACCCCAACTAAATGGGCGCCCCAAGGGTGATTTTTGTCCCATCATTTGCAAGAGTCTCCGTCTAGACCCCACGTTACCCAGTGGAAACTCTAATTTGCCTTAATAACACACTACTCCTATTCATTCGTTTATGTAGCAAACATTTGTTTGGACTATGAACCATGCAGAGTACCTAATGCTGGAGCATCACATGGCAAGATCCTTAGGCTGTCACTCTAGAATGACCTCAAGCTTTGCCCTTCCTGGAAAACTTGCATAAACTCCTTATTAACTTGGCGTGATCCTCCTCCTCTGAACACCTGGGGCATGCTGTCTATTCCACTCATTTGTTACTATTTCATATGCTGTATAACTACTACTTCTTTACGTGAAGACTTGTTTTAGATTTGCAGCTGCGTTAAATACATTATTTCATTCAGTCCTCTTTGCAACTCTATGTGTTAAGTAAAGGATATTTGCCATTTAATAGATGAGGAAACTGGCTCAGAGGCATTCGATTTCAGACCTGCAATTTCCAGATTGGTTTTGTGTCTACAAAAATTTCCATGACAACTGACTTCCACCATCATTTATATAATAATCTGTTTCCACAAATCAATTGTAAGATATATGAAGTCAGGGTTTAAGTTTGTCTCAGCAACAATCTTAGTGCTAACCTAAGGATCAGGTATGGTTGGTAACTCTGGCTTTCAATGATTGTAGAACAGTTATGACTTTGTTCATATGCCTATGTAGGTCTTTATAACACCCTAATATGATTTAAATATTCTCCTATAGTTACTTTTGATTCTTAAATTTCTGACATAGGACTCTGTGTGTGTGTGTCTATAACAAGTATCTTCTCTCTCTCTTTTTTTTTTTGTGAGGAAGATCAGCCCTGAGCTAATATCCGTTGCCAATTCTCTTCTTTTTTGCTGAGGAAGATTGGCCCTGGGCTAACATCCGTGCCCATCTTCCTCTACTTTATATGGGACGCTACCACAGCATGGCTTGACAAGCAGTGCATCGGTGCGTGCCTGGGATCCGAAACATCGAACCCTGGACCGCCGAAGCGGAGCTCGCACACTTAACCGCTGCGCCACTGAGCCGGCCCCATCCGTTATTTTTCATAGGAACTTTTGTTCATTTTAATGAGAAATGAAATTCAGATCCCATAATCTAGTTACCAGGGTGTTATTTCTGCTACACGTTCTGAGCTTTTCACTTATGGAGAAATGAAATGCTTTTATTTTAGAAATATATTTTAAAAGAAAAATTCACAGTTTTTAAAGATATTTCCAATTCAAATTAATGTTGACAGATTCCATATTTAAGTATTGCTTCTTTTCTTTTAAGGTTTTCGCAATGTGAAATATTTACAAGTTTCCAAAGTCAAACCTATCAAACAAGGCACATTGAGGGATATAGCTCTGATTTCTGTCCCATCTGCTCTGTTCTCTACCTATCCTTTAGGAAACCATTTTTATTAGATTTAGTTTTATCCTTCCATTGTTGCTTTTTGACAATATAAGAAAAGACATACATGTGCTCTTGTTTATATTTTTCTTACACACTAAAAAACTGCATACTGTTCACACTTTTATCACCATGGTAGACAGTCTCTAAACCGGGCCCCAGAGATCCCCACCTCTTGCTATGATGTCTCATGTAATTCCTCCTTCTGAGTGTGGGCTGGACTTTTTGACTGACTTCTACTGAATAGAATGGTAGAAGTGATGGAGTGTCCTTCCTAGATTAGGTTATACAAAGACTGCGGCTTCTATCTTGGGTGATCTTTATTGGATTGCTTGCTCTGGGTGAAGCCAGCTGCCACAATATGAAGTAATCCTGTGGAGGGGCCCATGTAAATGAGTTCAGAAGTAGATGTTCTCAGGTTTCTCCATAGCCATGTGAGTAAACTCAGAAATGGATCCTCCCCAGGCAAGCCTTTAGATGCCTGCACCCTGTCTGACACTTTGAGAGAGACCCTGAGCCAGAAGCAGACATCTAAGCTGCTACTAGTTGTTCCTAAACTAGGAAGCTACAGAAGCTGTAAGATAACAAATGTTTGTTGTTTCCATTTGTTAACTTTTGTGGTAATTTGTTATGCATAAATGGATAACGAAAATAGATTTTGGTATGTGAAAGTAAAGTGCTGCCTTAGCAAAACTGGAAAATTTGGGAATGGCTTTAGAATCCATCAGTGGCCTTGAGAAGAGTGTTAGTGAAAGCTTGGGGTACCCTGCACACACTGCAAAGTTTTGGAGATTGAGGACACTGTGAGTGAGATCTTACAATAAAGTGATGAAAATATTATTGGAAATTGGAGGAAGGAGCATTCCGGTTATGTCATGGCAGGAAAAGTAGCAATACTTTTTCCTGCAGCTGTGTAGAAACTAAGACAAGTACTTAATAAACCGTGCCATTTAGATAAAAAAATTTCCAGGAAAAATGGTGGTGGTGCAGCCTATCTCTTCTTGCTACGTAGTAAAATGAGAGCGAAGAGAGATAAATTGAGGGAAGAACCCTGAAACAAAAAGGAGCCAAGAACTGATGGTTTTGAACATTCCCAGCCTCTTCAAACCACAACAATGACAAAATTAAGAAACGGCTTCTGAACAAAGATCTTATCCTGGGCACTGCTATGAAAATTTTGCCTAAAGATAAAGCCAAGTGTGTGACTATAACATATACATTTTTTTAAGATTTCAGAAAAATCAATGATTTTACAATCACACACTTTGCTGTATCTTTATCTAATAGAGTAAAGAGATTCACAGGAGACCCACAAAGTTCGTAAAAGAGTTATATAGGCAGAAACAGTATCAGACAAAGACAATCCAGAATGAGGAGAGGCACTTGGACTCCCAGTATTTTACTGGCAGGAAGCAGGCTGAGAGAACAGCTCAGCTGAAAAAGAAAAACCCATGCTACCTTTCACGAAAAAGTAAAGATGACTCAGAGGGAGGACCCCAGAGCCTAGAGGGAAGAGCTAAGAATCATAGAGCCGTATTCCTTGACTTTGAGAACTAATCCAGGAACTGCCAGCATATTCCCATTTGTATTTCAGGATTATGGATCCGTGATTCTATGTGGCTTCTTGTGTCCCTTTTTGAAAAGGAATGTGTCTAGTGGTTGTACTGTGCTTGTCTCACCTTTGCGTGTTGGGGCTGTGGGAGGCAGATTATTTGTCTCTTTAGATTCAAAGGTCTACAGTTTGAGAACAAGATCCACACTTGAAAAACTATGCCTAAGGTACTACACTTGAGGATCCTTACTTACACCAGCACTATTTTATATAACAACATTCTGTTCTTTGAGCTCACACTGTAATAGGATGAGAATTTGAGGGGTCTTGGGATGGGGTTAACGTATTTAGTATGTGAGAAACACAAATCATTGCGATCCAGAGGGCAGACTATTGCAGGTAGCTTATAAAATGGGTCACAAAGATCTCCACCACATTGTAATCCTCTCTTCTCTAGTGTGGGCCAGATTTATTGAATGAGTTATAACAAATACAGTATGACAGAAATGAGGGGATGTCACTCACAAGATAAAGTTATCAAAGGAATCTGGATATTTTCC